CCCCTCTTCTTCATGTCTCTTCTTCATCAACATGTGTCCCCTCTTCTTCATGTCTCTTCTACATCAACATGTGTCCCCTCTTCTTCATGTCTCTTGTACATCAACATGTGTCCCCTCTTCTTCATGTCTCTTCTACATCAACATGTGTCCCCTCTTCTTCATGTCTCTTATACATCAACATGTGTCCCCTCTTCTTCATGTCTCTTCTACATCACCATGTGTCCCCTCTTCTTCATCAACATGTGTCCCCTCTTCCTCATGTCTCTTCTACATCAACACGTGTCTCTTCTACATCAACATGTGTCCCCTCTTCTTCATGTCTCTTCTACATCAACATGTGTCCCCTCTTCTTCATGTCTCTTCTACATCAACATGTGTCCCCTCTTCTTCATGTCTCTTCTACATCAACACGTGTCCCCTCTTCTTCATGTCTCTTCTACATCACCATGTGTCCCCTCTTCTTCATCAACACGTGTCCCCTCTTCTTCATGTCTCTTCTACATCAACACGTGTCTCTTCAACATCAACATGTGTCCCCTCTTCTTCATGTCTCTTCTTCATCAACATGTGTCCCCTCTTCTTCATGTCTCTTCTACATCAACATGTGTCCCCTCTTCTTCATGTCTCTTCTACATCAACATGTGTCCCCTCTTCTTCATGTCTCTTCTACATCAACATGTGTCCCCTCTTCTTCATGTCTCTTCTATATCAACATTTGTCCCCTCTTCTTCATGTCTCTTCTTCATCAACATGTGTCCCCTCTTCTTCATGTCTCTTCTACATCAACATGTGTCCCCTCTTCTTCATGTCTCTTCTTCATCAACATGTGTCCCCTCTTCTTCATGTCTCTTCTACATCAACATGTGTCCCCTCTTCTTCATGTCTCTTCTACATCAACATGTGTCCCCTCTTCTTCATGTCTCTTCTACATCAACATGTGTCCCCTCTTCTTCATGTCTCTTTTACATCAACATGTGTCCCCTCTTCTTCATGTCTCTTCTACATCAACATGTGTCCCCTCTTCTTCATGTCTCTTCTATATCAACATTTGTCCCCTCTTCTTCATGTCTCTTCTTCATCAACATGTGTCCCCTCTTCTTCATGTCTCTTCTACATCAACATGTGTCCCCTCTTCTTCATGTCTCTTCTTCATCAACATGTGTCCCCTCTTCTTCACGTCTCTTCTACATCAACATGTGTCCCCTCTTCTTCATGTCTCTTCTACATCAACATGTGTCCCCTCTTCTTCATGTCTCTTCTACATCAACATGTGTCCCCTCTTCTTCATGTCTCTTCTACATCAACATGTGTCCCCTCTTCTTCATGTCTCTTCTACATCAACATGTGTCCCCTCTTCTTCATGTCTCTTCTACATCAACATGTGTCCCCTCTGTGGAAAGAGACTCAGGTTCAGGAACAAAGATTCTCTCTCTTTTTGATCCATTTATATAAAAACATGTCTGTAACAGACAGAAAATCAGCACTTTTGAAACAGGGCTGAAACAGAGGGGATTATGGGATGCTGCAATGATCTGTTTGGTGTTTCAGCCAATCAGAGACAGGCTCTGGATATATCTGAGACCTGTGATATATTGATGAGAAACAGTAAAATAGGGGACCTTTAAGTCAGACTTTAGTTCCACCTTGAGTAAATTCACAAGCTACCCTGCAGTATACAAAGTCATTCAAACTAGCTGCACCTTTACCAGCTTTGAGAACACTTTCATGATCAATCATTATAAAACATATCATATATATTATTCTGAAATGGACCAATCTGCACAATGACTACTATTACTGTCGCTACTTTCCCTATATTTTGATGAGAATACTTTTCTACTTTTACTTGAGGAACATTTTGAATGCAGGACTTTGACTGAAACAGAGTATTCCTACACACTCACCAGAATGTTTTATTTGTGTTTGGTTTGGTGTCGAGTTGTGAAGCATAGACGGCGGGGCGCTGGGTGTCTACTCTTGTATCAACTTGTATTGGCTCACTGTATCATCGGATCTTCTTCCAGGTGTTTTTTTTAAAGTGTGCATTAACACCGACAGTAGAAATACTGTATAGATCTTAAGCTCAGGGGAACGTTAGACCTGAAAAGACAACTTACAGAAGATAGTCAAGATGTCTGATGGCTAGAATTGTTGTCAGGATTCTTCCTGGTTCATCTGTTCTTGGATAAGTATGGAGTTGTACAACGTAGACATCAAGCTGTTTTATTAAAATCATAACTTTTTAAACCCTGTACAACATGTTCCTGATTCTCTCCTGTTTCCTTCTCTTTCAGCAGAGAGTGGTCTGCAGGAGGTTTTAGATGAACATAGGAACAGTCTGAGGAGGAGATGTGAACGTGTGACTGAAGGAACTGATCAAAGTGAAACCCTCCTCAACAGGATCTTCACTGAGCTCTACATCACACAAGGCCTGAGTGAAGAGGTTAATACCCAACATGAGGTGAGGCAGCTGGAGACAGTTTCCAAGAAGAAGACCCTCCATGACACTCCAATCAAGTGCCAGGACATCTTTAAAGCCTTACTTGACCAACAGACTCACATCAGAGCGGTCCTGACCAACGGAGTCGCTGGAGTTGGAAAAACCTTCTCAGTGCAGAAGTTCACTCTGGACTGGGCCGAGGGTTTGGGAAACCAAGATGTCAGTCTGGTGATCCCGTTCTCCTTCAGGGAGCTGAACCTGATCAAAGGTGAGCAGTACAGTCTTCTCAGGCTGCTCCATGTTTTCCATCCAACCTTACAGAAGGTCACAGCAGAGCAGCTGGCTGTCTGCAAAGTGCTGCTCATCTTTGACGGCCTGGATGAAAGCAGACTTTCTCTGGACTTCAGAAACAATGAGGTTGTGTCTGATGTCTCACAGAAGTCCTCAGTCAACGTGCTGCTGACAAACCTCATCAGGGGGAAGCTGCTTCCCTCTGCTCTCGTCTGGATAACTTCCAGACCTGCAGCGGCCAATCAGATCCCTCCTGAGTGTGTGGACAGGGTAACAGAAGTACGAGGCTTCACTGACGCCCAGAAGGAGGAGTACTTCAGGAGGAGATCGAGGGATGAAGACCTGTCCAGCAGAATCATCTCTCACATCAAGAGCTCCAGGAGCCTCCACATCATGTGTCTGATCCCAGTCTTCTGCTGGATCACTGCTGCAGTTCTGGACCACATGTTGACTACAGACCAGAGAGGAGAGCTGCCCAAGACCCTCACTGACATGTACTCACACTTCCTGCTGGTCCAGACCAAGAGGAAGAAGCAGAAGTATGAAGAGGGACATGAGACGAGTCCACAGCAGCTGACGGAGGCTGACAGGGAGGTTCTTCTGAAGCTGGGGAGGCTGGCGTTTGAACATCTGGAGAAAGGAGACATCATGTTCTACCAAGAAGACCTGGAGCGCTGTGGTCTTGATGTCACCGAGGCCTTGGTGCACTCAGGAGTTTGTACACAGATCTTCAAAAGAGAGAGTGTGATCTTCCAGAAAACAGTCTACTGCTTTGTTCATCTGAGCATTCAGGAGTTTCTGGCTGCAGTCTACATGTTGCACTGTTACACCAACAGAGACACAGAGGTACTGGAGGACTTCCTGAAGGAAGACTGTGACTATTACTTAGGTGATGGCAGTGATCCGGATTACCCATCCCTGGATGCCTTCTTAAAGGAAGCCATGAAGAAATCCCTCAAAAGTAAAAATGGCCACCTGGACCTGTTTGTCCGCTTTCTACACGGCCTCTCTCTGGAGTCCAACCAGAGACTCCTAGGAGGCCTGCTGGGTCATACAGACAACCGTCCAAAGATCATCCTGAGAGCCATCAACAACCTGAAGGAGATGAGAAGTGATGAAATCTCTCCTGGCAGGAGCATCAACATCTTCCACTGTCTGACAGAGATTAACGACCTCTCAGTACATCAGGAGATCACAGAGTTCCTGAAGTCAGAGAACAGATCAAAGGAACTCTCTGAGATCCACTGCTCTGCTCTGGCCTACATGCTGCAGATGTCAGAGGAGGTTCTGGATAAGTTGGACCTGAAGAAGTACAAAACATCAGAGGAGGGACGATGGAGACTGCTTCCAGCTGTGAGGAACTGCAGGAAGGCAGAGTAAGTCCAGATGTGATTAACTTTATAAACTAGATCAGAAGTTTAATTCTTAAAATATTAGTTATTTTATTTATTATAATAGTTATTACCTTTCACAGTTTTTAGATCTCTTCATATTCCTTGTCAAACAAATGAAGGCCTTTAGAGGTGTTCTCACAGCAGCATGTGATCACAACATACAGCAGTATGTTACAGTTATCAGTGAATGCAGTCATTCATAGATCATTCAGTTTGTTTGTCATCACATCTGTTTTTACCACAATTTTTAAGAGTTTAAATATGTGTGATGAATTAACTATCTATCTACCTATCTATCTTTCTAGTTACTTTGAATCCATGAAATGCGGAAATGTCTTCATCAGCAGGCCATCACGTGGTTTCTGAAAATAACCGAGTGACACATTTTAGCCGAGACCGGCGGAAAGTTTGTGTCAAAACTCAGTGTGTGTAAAAAGACGATCCACAAGCGCATTTTTGGTCGACAAATACAAAATGGATTCACAAATGCCTGATCGAAAGTTGTCAATGTAGAGAGAGACTCACAAATTCCTTTTGTTTATTTGTAAACTAATTATAGTACAGATCTTTTTTTTCATTTTTGAAAACATGTTGCGTATTTGCAGATCCGTTTTACATTTGCACTTTTTTTTTGGGAGTTTGCAAATCGTTTGAATGCATCTGTGGAAGGTGTTTTACATTTACATGTTCACACATTTACACACAAATATTATTGAGACATATATAACCCCATACCTCGATTACAAGTAACGTTACAACTTCAGGTGCGCAGAGGTGGGAGAAGTACTCAGATATTTTACTTAAGTAAAAGTAGAAGTACTCAGATCTTGTACTCCCTTTTTATGCTAACACTTTTTGTAATATTTGTGTGACAGACTTTCTGACTGTGGACTCTCAGAGACTCACTGTGAAGTCGTGGCCTCTGCTCTGAAGTCTGACCCCTCCCATCTGAGAGATCTGGACCTGAGTATCAACGATCTGGAGGATTCAGGAGTGGAGCTGCTGAGTTCTGGACTAAAGAGTCCAAACTGCAGACTGGAGGCTCTCACGTGAGTTCAATAACTGGATATAATAAAAATAATAATAATGTCATTATTATAATTATATATTTGTTCTCGTTATTTATGATTTGTAGATTTTGCCCGTGAACAAATACATTTAAAAAAAGAAATCTGTTTTTGCTTGTTGTTGAATATTTATCAGAATAACAGAGAGAAGGTGAATGTGTGAAGGAGAGTTTTTCATCTTCCACAGACTCACTCTGTGCTCCATGAGTCGGTGAAGATGCTGTCAGTACTGATGATGTCATGGTCTATTTATTTTAGTTTTATTTTGAAATGTATTACATCTTGTTTTTCTTGTTTTTTTCCCAGTCTGATTGTGTTCACCTGTTGCCCTTGTGTTTCTGCTTGCCCTCCCCAGCTGTGTCTGGTCTTGTGATTAGTCTTGTGTCTCTGGGTCGATCTCAAGTTACTTATTTTTCATTTCCTCGCTCCTCGGTCTCTGTATCACCGGAAGTTGATTTGTATGCGCCATCTTGAGGAGCGTCCCATTGCCCTTATTTGTGCCGGAGGACCGAGGATCGAGGAGTGATAACGGAGGATCGATAATCGAGGAACCACCAGACCATCCTCCGGTGAAATCCTCAGACACTCGCCCCGCCCCCTTACTGTGTATCGCTCACTGATTGGACGATGCAATGCATGCACTGATCTGATGCTTCTTAGCATGAGAGCAGTTTCCCAGCGGAGTGAAGAAAACACATGAAACTCACGGGACTCACTCCTCAGTTTATACGGTGCTTTGTTTCAATTAATGTATCATCTAGGGCTGTGCAATTAATCGTATTTTAATCGCAATTACGATTTTGGCCTGCCACAATTACGAAAACAACATAATCGAAAAAAACGATTATTTTGCTTTGCTAAGTTGTGACATATTTGATCTAATTTATTTTAGTCTAATTTATTTTTATTTATCATATTTATATATGTTTAGTAGCTTGTTGAAGTGCGCTCCAACATATTTGTTGATCTTGTTTATTGGTATTTATTATTTTGATATCATTTGTTTTTGTATTGGTTTTTCAGTTGAATTATACGTTCAGGGTAATCAACAGTTAAAAAGATACTGTTCAAATTATTATTTGTATTTGTTTTAAAGTTCAATAAATGGATGTTTTCAAAGTTAAAAATATGTGATATATCTGAACAACAAAGTGGACAAAAATCATTTTATTAATTTATTGGAAACATTTTTCATGATCTCCAATTTTTATTATGAACACAATACAATTCAAAGAGACAGATTTAATGTCTGTGAGCAGGAACAGCTTTTTTCGTTTTACATTTTTATTTATTGTCATTTCCATTCAGTCACACCTGAGACATGAATTATGTGATTTGTCTCAGTTTAACAGCCAACACAATTGTAGTGCCGTTACTTCATGTCATTTTTATGCGGTAACAATACCGTTACGATAATGTTGTTGTTACGGCTGCTGTTTCTGTCTGCCCGTTAACCTGTCTGAGATTGTTTGCAGCTGTGTGTAATATGTAAATGAGCTGTGTGGTTGCCCCAATGTCGTTGGCTGTCATCTCCTGGTCCTCCTCCGAAGATGCTGATTGGAGCACGCCGGGCCTGACGCTCTCCAATCCCCGTGCAATCCCAGAGCACACCTTCCGGAGATTACTACAAAGCCTGGGGACAATTATCACTCGGGAGGCTCTGCTGCGATCAGACGCCTCACACATTTTGCTCCTGTGTCGTGGACACTTCAGTCTTGAGCAATAGACTGTGTTTGACTATTGTGATCCGTGTTTAGTGTTGTGTGTTTAGTGTGTTTATATGTGTGCTTAGAGTAGCGTGTGTTTAGTTCATCTAGTTAGCTGCGTTTTCCTGCAGCCTCCTTCCAATAAAGTTAATTGGAAGAGATATCAGGTGTGTTAATTAGGCTCATTTTCAAGAGTCCTCCTTCTGTTACTAGCAGTAGAACTGCGCCCTTTTGGCTTCTTTTTTTGGCTTAGGCTACGTTTGATCTCGTTTTGTTGTGCACCTTTGTTGTTGCTCATTAAATCCTATTTTAATTACTTACCAAAACCATCTGGTGTGTGTTAACTTACTCATCCCTAGTGGGTTCGTAACAGTTGTGCTTTCTCTTCTCTCAATTATTTTCTTTCTATTGTGCACTCAAATAAATATTAAACTATTGTTTGTTTATACATTTTAAGAATGGCTATTTTATTTATTGGGGTCTACAACAGCAGGTGGGGGGGGGGGGGGTGTTTGTCTGATCAGACGCTCAGCTGTGCGGCGTCATCAAAAACGGGCGTCGCTTCACGTGACGCTCCGGAGGAAAGGACGTCCCATTGCTCTTAAAACTCATTTCCCTGCTTCTTCTCCCTTCTCGTGGTTTCCTTATCTGCGTCTCACTTCTCTTAACTTCGATCTTTGCGTCCCTCACTTGCGTCTTAGTCCCTCCCACCAGGGAAGCATGGAGAGACGCCCTGGTGGGAGGGACTGAGTTTTAAGAGCAATGGGACGTCCTTTCCTCCGGAGCGTCACGTCAAGCGACGCCCGTTTTTGATGACGCCGCACAGCTGATCGTCTGATCAGACAAACACGGCACTACAATTGTGTTGGCTGTTAAACTGAGACAAATCACATAATTCATGTCTCAGCTGTGACTGAATGGAAATGACAATAAATAAAAATGTATGACGAAAAAAGCTGTTCCTGCTCACAGACATTAAATCTGTCTCTCTTTGAATTGTATTGTGTTCATAATAAAAATTGGAGATCATGAAAAATGTTTCCAATAAATTAATAAAATGATTTTTGTCCACTTTGTTGTTCAGATATATCACATATTTTTAACTAGATGATACATTGATTGAAACAAAACACAATATAAACTGAGGAGTGAGTCCCGTGAGTTTCATGTGTTTTCTTCACTCCGCTGGGAAACTGCTCTCATGTCAAGAAGCATCAGATCAGTGCATGCGCTGCATCGTCCAATCAGTGAGCGATACACAGTAAGGGGGCGGGGCGAGTGGCTGAGGATTTCACCGGAGGATGGTCCGGTGGTTCCTCGATTATCGCTCCTCGATCCTCGGTCCTCCGGCACAAATAAGGGCAATGGGACGCTCCTCAAGATGGCGCATCAACTTCCGGTGATACCGAGGAGCGAGGAAATGAAAAATAAGTAACTTGAGATCGACCCACAGCGTCTCTCTGTGCATCCCTGGAGGAAGGGTCTAAGACGCTGGGATGGAAGTTAAGAGAAGTGAGACGTAGCTTTAGTCTTGTCTTCCCTTGTGCTTCTTGTTGGGTCGTCGTTGTGTTCCTGGTTTGGTTCCTGTTCCCCGGTGTGTGCATGTTACGTTTGTCCTTGTTATCTTGGTAATCTGCTTTTTGGTGGATTAAAGCTCGCTTGTTGTTTAACTACTTGACCTCTTGTTTTGTTTTTTGCTGGGTTTGGGTTCTGCCTTCCTTCCAAACCCTGACAGATGATCTTTGAGGGAGATGAAGGAGTTTGTAAAGATCTGATGAGAAAAACTACTGCAGAGTTTGAGCTTGGATTATTAGGGATTTGTTTCTACATCATTGTTGACATTAAAACCTTCAGCTTCAACAGATTATTAAACCTTCACTTATTTGAAAAGAGGAACATTGTTTTCTAAAGTTACATCATGTTTTCTTTATTCAGACTGAGAGGCTGCTGTTTGTCAGAGATCAGCTGTTCTGCTCTGGCCTCAGCTCTGAAGTCCAACATCCATCTGAGAGTTCTGGACCTGGGTGGCAACGATCTGCAGGATTCAGGAGTGGAGCTGCTGAGAGATCTTCTGGAGAGTCCAGACTGCAGACTGGAGACTCTCAGGTCAGTTCTCCATCTTTTACTTCTGTGCTGAGATGAAGAGAGTTGTGTTGACTCTGAGCTGCAGACATCAGGCTGATATCACTCTGATCCTCACTGAGTATCTTAATGCTAACTATCCTACCCTGCATAATTCACTCATCTCAAACACCTGAGACTCATCTTATATTCTGCAGCATGCCTTCAATAAATTATATTAAAAAAATACAACCCATTCATATTTCTATTTAAACTTCTGAACATCTACAATGTTTCAGTTTTCTGAAGCTACACGATGCTTTTACCGACTGAATAGTTCAAACTGAAGATGCTGTGATTTGATGACTCCACTATTCCTAAAATAAATATTCTGGAGGTTTTTCTTCACATTTGTTCAAAACTCATCCTGAAATATTTGTGATCTTTGTAAACGTTGTGATCTTGAGTTGAATCAGTTTCTGTGGGTTTCATTGGTCTGGCTGCACATCATGAGTTTGTGTAGTTGGAGCAGAGTTTCAGATGTGAAGTCACCTCTTTATTATTGAAGGAGAAGCACGTTGTCTTTCATATTAATGAGAGATCTTTTCACTTTTTGTCTCTTACAGTTTTTACCTGTTTGGAGTTTCCACTTTCTAACCTTCTTCAGCTCTGATCAGATTATTAAACCTGGAGTTATTTCAAACAGGAACTTTGTTTTCTAAAGTTACATCATGTTTTCTTTATTCAGTCTGGAGGGCTGCAGTTTGTCAGAGATCAGCTGTTCTGCTCTGATCTCAGCTCTGAAGTCCAACATCCATCTGAGACATCTGGACCTGAGTCTCAACAAGCTGCAGGATTCAGGAGTGGAGCCGCTGAGAGATCTTCTGGAGAGCCCAGACTGCAGACTGGAGACTCTCAGGTCAGTAAGGGGTCTCTGCTGGTTCAGCAGTTTTGTATTAAACACAGGGAGGTGTTTCTCTCACTGGGATCACAACAAGTCAGTGATGTTACCCACTGACTGCAGGCTCTTCTTTTTATTCTTCTAAAAACAATATACTGTAAGCAAAGCCACATTTAGTTAGTAACGTTTTAACAAACATATGGGGTTTTACAGAATAGTGATGAAGATGCTCTGTTGTGTTTTCCTGTCATGTTTTTTGTTTCTAGATTACTGAGCAGTTATTTCCTGTGATGCAGCTGAGAGCAGTCAGTCGTAGTGTTTGCAGAGAAGATATGATCAAATCAAATCAAATCAGGTTTTATTTATAAAGCACATTTAAAAGCGATTTTTGGTCGAGCCAAAGTGCTGTACATGTAATAAAAACACATTACTACAAAACACAATAAACGACAATAAATTACCACAGATATATCTTAAAAAACAAAATAAGAATAAAACACACGGAAAAGTCAGGAGTCGTGCTCCGCTCTAACTAGAAGGCCAGAGAGAAGAAGTGTGTTTTTAGTTTTGATTTAAAAACCCCTAGGGTCTGGGCCGACCTCACATGGAGGGGCAGAGTGTTCCAGAGCCTCGGGCCAGCTGCTGCGAAGGCTCGGTGCCCTCAGGTTTTTAGCCTGGTCTTGGGCACTACCAGCAGCAGCTGGTCAGCAGACCTTAAAGCTCTGGCTGGGGTGTAGCGATGGAGCAGTTCAGTTATATAGGCCGGAGCCAGCCCATTTAGGGCTTTAAAAACAAATAAAAGGATTTTAAAATCAATTCTGAACCGAACTGGAAGCCAGTGTAGTGAGGCCAGAATAGGGGTGATGTGGTCGCGCTTTTTGTGACCAGTCAGCAAACGTGCAGCAGCGTTTTGGACTAGCTGTAAGCGTTTGATTGAGGCCTGGTCCATACCCACATACAGAGCGTTACAATAGTCCAGTCTCGAGGTTACAAAGGCGTTAATAACCCTTTCTAAGTCTTTAAAAGATAAATACAACTTGGTTTTGGCCAATAGTCTTGTTTTAAAAAAGCAGGATTTTACTACGGTGCTGACCTGCTTGTCGAATTTAAAAGTGCTAGTGAAGGTCACTCCAAGGTTCGTGACCGAGGGGAGGATGTTTTTTTTGATAGAGCCCAGAATATCAACCGGAGAGGCTGGAGGTTGCGGTCCAAAAAAGATGACCTCAGTCTTGCTCTCGTTGAGGTTGAGGAAGTTTTTGTTCAGCCAGGATTTTATCTCTGCTAAGCAGTCCATCAGCTGCTGTAGTGAGTGTGTGACATTTGCTTTGAGAGGCAGATAGATCTGTACATCGTCGGCGTAGCAGTGGAAGGGAATGTTATGTTTTGTGAGAATTGAACCTAGGGGCAGTATGTACAGTAGAAAAAGGATGGGGCCCAGAATCGAGCCTTGGGGAACCCCACAGGTAAGAGGGGCTTTGGCAGAGGAGAAGGCACCTAGCTGTACCGAGAAGCTACGGTCTGTCAGGTAGGACCTGAACCATGCAAGGGCAGAGCCTGTGATGCCAGCGGACTGTTCAAGCCGTGACAGCAGGATGCTATGGTCCACAGTGTCAAAGGCAGCTGTCAGGTCTAACAGCACCAAGACAGCTGGGCTACCTGAGTCGGCGGCTAGGAGCAGATCATTAAAAACTCTTAAAAGGGCTGTTTCAGTGCTGTGCATGGGTTTGAAGCCAGACTGGAACTTTTCATGGATTCCATGCGTGGTTAAAAAAGACTGCAGCTGGGCGTAGACTACTCGCTCCAGGGCTTTTGATAAAAAAGGTAGCTGGGAGATGGGCCTAAAATTTGCGAGAATGGAGGGGTCGAGATTTTTCTTTTTAAGGAGTGGCTTAACCACGGCATGTTTGAAGGCAGCTGGGACACATCCTGAGCTAAGAGAGGTGTTTAAAAGTAATAAAATACTTGCTCCAACTGAATCAAAAACATCCCTGAGAAGGCGAGAGGGAATGCTGTCTGAGGTGCAGTTTGTCGGCCGCAGGTGCTTGACTACATCCGAGAGAGAAGAGAGGGATACAGGCTCAAAGTGGTCGAGGACAGCAGGGCACAGAAAAGGAGCAGGATCTGGGGTAGCACTAGTGTGGGCTAGCCTAAGAGCAGATACCTTTTCAATAAAAAATGTAAGAAACTTATCACAGAGAGTAGTCGATGGCACAATAGAAGAAACATCACAGGGATTAATGATAGAGTTGAGGACATTAAAAAGAACCTGAGGTTTATGGATGTTTTTGGAGATGAACAGAGAAATGTGCTCTGTTTTGGCTGCTTTGACTGCCGTCTGGTAGTCAGAAAGGCAAGCACGAAGGATTTCTAGGGAGACATGGAGTTTATCCTTTTTCCATTTTCTCTCTGCACGCCTGCAAGCGCGTCTGAGAGCACGAGTACAGTCATTGAGCCACGGCTCTGAGAGAACTTTGGTGCGTCTAAGCGTAAAAGGAGCAACAGAATCCAGTATTAGTGTACATGTCGAATCAAACATGGAGATAAGCTCATCAGCATTAAAAGCACAGTTCACATCTAATTTACAGATCGGAGAAGCATTAAAAGCATCAGAGAACTGTGAGGCACGTGATTCGACTCCTGCGGAAGGGATGGAGGTTGTAAACAGAACCGGTAAATGGTCTGAGATACGCGTTGCTGCACATATTTCATCCACAGATACAGACAGTCCAAACGATAATACTAAGTCCAAAGTGTGTCCTTTTTCGTGTGTTGGGCCAGCCACGGACTGAACGAGACCAAAGGAGATTTAAAAAGTCCCTAACCAGAGGTTTGGACTCGCAACACACATGGACATTGAAGTCTCCGGAGATCAAAACACGATCATATTTCACCATGATCCCGGACAGAAAGTCAGAAAAGTCATTTATGAAATCCTTATTACACTTTGGCGGACGATACACGACTGCGCAGAGTATAGGCGAGGCCGGGTTCAGTTCAAAAAGCTGCAACTCAAAGCTGGCATAGCTAGATACAGGGTGAAGCAATCGGCATTGGAGGTTAGCTCTAAACACTGATGCTATGCCCCCACCATGGGATGTAAAGCCTTAGATCAGTCAGGACTCTGAAGCTGACTAACTCAAAGAACAAACACTTATTTTAAACTGGATCCATAACTGTTGGATTGTGTTTATCCATACAGGATTAACGACAGGACGATCAGAGCCAAGATCCAGAAGACCTGTGAGTACTGAAACCATATCCTCCATTCATCAAACCATTAAACTCTGATCCTAAAAGGTTCAACAGAAACATGTTTTAACTCCATCTTGTTACAGCTCTCTCAATCATTTTGGATTCTAATGTTTCTCTTTGTTAAAGTTTTATTATTATTGATGTCTTTTCTCTGTCACTTCTTCCCTCCATCAGGTGACTCTGCTGTGGAACAGGAAGTGAAGACAGACAGAGAGGTGAGAGAGGAGCAGCTGCACCGTGTGGAGTTTATTGATGAGGTTTCACCACTGATTAAAATGTAGTTATTAGTCAGTGTTTTTCTGGGATCCAGACAAATCTGCAGCTCAGGTTTGATTTGTTCACAGTTTATTTATCATGTGTTTGAGACGTGAAGAGGAGCGTGGAGGCATTTTGGAAAATGATCAAGAATGATGAGAGACTTTCTGTCCTCAATATTAAACAAACTGACAGTATATCTTCCATTAAAAACAAACAATTGCACTGAAAGCTTTTCTTGAACAAACATTTGTCACCATCATTCTGCAGACGTTTAATTTACCAACTCGTATCAGAGTTAGGATTCAGTTTGTTGCCAGTTAGGTTTTTGACATGTAAGGAATTTGTTTTGGTAGGAATACATTGAATTATATATCAGCTCATCTGCTGTGAGCAATGTCCCGCCCCAATGTGCTGTGATTGGCTGGTGTTACTGTAATATGATTGACTGTAACTCTGATTGGCTTTTAATACTGTGCTGTGATTGGCTGTAACTCTGATTGGCTGGTGCTACTGTGCTGTGATTGGCTGTAACTCTGATTGGCTTGTAATACTGTGCTGTGATTGGCTACTGTTTTGTGAGCTACAGTAGTGGACATGGCTCAGCACTACGTGACATGTTAACCGGTTACTTACCCATTGGAAATCAACGATGAGCTGACAGGATCTAGACTCATTTGAATTTTAGATTTTTGTCTCACAATGAACTGGATTTTTATTACAATAACTCACTTTGTACCTTTCATAATTCCAGGCTCCAGTTTCCTTCCCATCTGAAAACACACCTGAATCTTCAGACAGGTAATCCTATAACAGGACCAAACACTTCTTTAAAAATATGTATTTGTATTTAATATAATAATAATAATAATAATAATACATTTAATTTATATAGCGCTTTTCAAGACACACAAAGACGCTTTACAAAAGTCACATTTAACAAACACAGTCATTCAGATTGGCGGAATTATGACATGGGTGGAGGACCGGAGTGACGGGGTCTCGGCGGTGGGTGGAGGTGAGCAGGCGGGCGGGGGAGTTCTGGACGTAGAACCGTAGAGGATGCTATTACAGTACTCGAGTCTGGAGGTGATGAGGGCGAGGGTGAGGGTTTCAGCAGCAGAAAAACAGAGGGAAGGTCGGAGGAGGGCGATGTTCTTGAGTTGGAAAAAGGCAGTTTGGTGATCAGGTGAGTTGACACAGCGGTTTCAGATCTGGGTGGAGGGGTCGACTTTGAGCTGTCAATAGGCGCGTTCACACCAACTACTTTCCTGTACTTAGTTCCGGCACTAAGAGCCCCGGCGCTTTTTACCCCAGGGCACTTAGTACAGATCGCGTTCACACCGGAGTACTTTTCTCTGAGGGAAGATTGCGCAAATGAGCCGCTGACGTCACTTCTTCTTCTTCTGCTTTGGCTTTACTGGCAGGCCACAAACCACTTCAGGGCGAGTACAGTAGGTGGCGGTATGCACCTTAAAGTTGTTTGCAATCCGCTACAAAACAAGAGAAGAAGAAGAAGAAAAACTTCCCGCGTATACTGCGACGCCCACCCACTCGCTGTACATTAGGCGTCTGTTGTTTACCTTCCGACCTCAGACATGATGGAGATGGAGTCGACTGAAGTTGTGCTGTTTGTGCTCATGTTATACAGCTTTGTAACTGAGTTAATGCAGCCTGAGCAACTTGCGTACAATAACAAAACAAGCCGAGCACGAGTGGTGGTGGAGAACGCTTTTGGCAGACTGAAGGGCAGGTGGCGGTGCTTGATGAAAAGAAACGTCTGCAAGATCACAATCCAGGTGGCAGCATGTTGAATATTACATAACCTTTGTGAAAGTAATGATGAGTACAGGGACGAATGGACTGCCTTACCGGCGACCCAGCTTGATGGGCCAGCGCCAGCCATTGCCGAAACTGGGGGGCAAGACACGCGCACAGCCCTTATGAGGCATCTGAACAGCGTGTAAATTGTACATTGTAAAAATGTTGACAATAAAGCTGATCTTTTGTACAGTGCTTTTGTTTCTCTTTTATTTTCCAGTCAAGACAGGCAACATAACAATAGTGTACAGTGTGGCAATATAATAACAATAAACTGTGCCAGGTGTGTTGTATGCACAGTAAATAGGCTCAGCAGCAAACACACCTGTATTATTTATTATATATCTTCCTGAGACCCACTGCATCCGTCTGCCATAAACACTATGGAAACCTACATGTTAGTTTTGGCCCATAGTGGACTCCATTTTGTGTTGTGTAAAATGGGGGGGGGAATTCAAAGTTTGCAAATCCCCATGTCCTCCTCAGAGGATAATCATAAAAACATTTAGTTTTAGGTCAAATAATATTTAAAATGATATAAATTATCATATTTGTGTATGTGCCGCTGCCATTCCTCCACAAGGTTGCAACATTGATGATAAATAAATGACAAATAAAGCTTTGCCAGTTTATAACCGATGAAACATGATGGTATCAGAATAATCACTTACATGTGATGTATAGGATGCTACACAGGTCACAAAAGATAAAGTGTCAGGAGAAATAAGCAAGCTACAGGATCTGTTTAACAGTAAATAGAAGTTCACATTTTTAATATAAATAAAATAGAAGTTGTACATGTAAATTAACATTATCAATATAAAATAAAGTGTCAGTTGTATCAAGACTATATAATAACAGTAATAACAATAATATAAAATGAACTGGTGAGCATCTTGTCCTCCGTTTCCTGGGCCTTGGTGAACAGCACCATCTGATCCCCGTGCAGCGACTCATTCACCACGGCACGCCGGTCCTCCAACGCCTGGGCGGTGTCAAAGAAATTCGCATCCCGTGTCCGCTTTCCTAAGAGGGGAAAATAAGCAATATACAAGATCTGTTTAGTCGCCATGTAGTTTTACAACATACTAGTGTGTGTGTGTGTGTGTAGCTGCCGCTCAAAGTGCCCTTCTTTATTGTTTTGTATTTTTGAAGAGTGCTTCATGTATGCTTGAACTTTGTTTAATGTTGTTGAGGCAGACATTTATACCAGATACAAAGGGAAGTAGGAACGGGAAGCACTTGGGGGAGTAGTAGAAGAGAACCGAGCATTAACAGCAGGATAAAAGTGGGTCACTCTGGATTAAACTCATCACTGCATCTGATTGGAAAACATCCAAATGGCAATTGTGATGGTTGCCAACAACCAGAGACAATACATCATGTATTTTTTAGCTGCCCGGATTATAACAGACAAAGACTCATTCTGAAAACTGCACTGGAACAACTCAACGTCAAGGACATGGATTTCAAGTCAATATATGAAAGTAAATCAAGAAATGAAGCAAACGGATCTTCAAATTCCTCAAAAGCACTGGTCTGAGGACAAGGATTTAATATAAACATTTAATAAATCAACAGTAGGTGGCGATATATGCTCCAAGTGGAAGCGATTTCTTACCGGAAGTCACGTGACCTCTAGCCCGGATGTTTACAATGTTTGTGAGAGAGTAAAAAGGCGCGAAAATGTGTAAATGCCGGTCTAGGCGAATACGTTTTCACGCTGTTTCATAATTGTGCCAAGAAGGAAATAAACATGACTGTGAACATCAGTTCCATGCGTAACGTTCTTTCAAGACAAAGTTACAGTGTGTGTACCTTTGCGTTTGGTTGCTGGTAAGGGAGACGAGCAAGCGCTGTGATCTAGAATGCAAAGCTCGCTTGTTTCCAATCCCGAGAGTTGTCCATCCTCGCCTGAAACAGACGATTAGTGCCATGAGTTAGTGAAGCAAATTACAGAAACACTGCACAGTTATTCACAAGTCAAAACGTTTTCATAGCGGCCGAGAATATCTAGCTAGCTAGATGTTATTAGCTAGCTCGGGGCTAGTGTTAGCCAGTTCAGCCTAGCATGGCTAGCTTGATCTACTGAGCAAATAAAAGTACATCTGAGACCATTATTGTGCAGATTAAAACCCCAGTGCATGTAGTTGATTTTACCTTCGTCGTGGTCGTCATCGTTGGCCACTGAATCCACCGTTTGAGCGGCCTCCCACACCATCGGTCGATGCTGTCCGGGAGAAAAGGTCTGTGGCCTAGCAGAGCATCCAAGCGCTCGTACCATTTACTGGTCTTCCCGTCGTTACCACTCTTGTTATAATAGTCTTTAATTTGTTTGTAGTCCTGCCTGAGTTTCTTTATTTTTAGCCGGTATGCCGTGGGGCTGTGCACGATTCCCAGGTCGAGTGAAAGCTACTGAACTGGCTTCAGTAGCATTCCCTGGGTCGCGTCCTCGGCGTAGATCTCCAGAAGCGCCGACACCTCCTCATCACTCCACCGCTCCGATGATTTCTTGATGCTTGCCATAACTGCTTTCAAAAACAAAACTACTCTCCGTCGGTGCGCTGGGTTTTTGTAGCGAGGAAAAACAATGGCGGCTCTACACAACATTTTCACAGTTGTACGGGGCGTGGTTTGCAATTCGCCCAGCCAATCAGCACTGGGGCACTTTTCACCCACAGGAAAGTACGCTCTCTCAGCGGGCTCTAAAAATGGGGGTAAAAGTTCCCGAGATTAAGTACTCTTTTTGGTGTGAACGCGACATAAGGGGTACTAACGGAACTAAACGCGAAAAGTACGGTGAAAAGTGCTCCGGTGTGAACGCGGCTAATGGTGAGTGAGAATCAGTGGGCAGAGCAGGTGAGGGAATGCAGGCACAATCATATTTGTGATTTATTGAGTTGGAGGAAGTTTTTTTTGCATCCATAGTTTATGATCTGTAAGGCAGGCGGAGAGGGTGGAGTGGGTGGTGGCTGTGATGTAGCAGGGGAAATCGATGCCATGTTGGCGGAGGATATGACTGATGGGAAGGATGTACCTGATAACGAGGAGGGGGCCTCTATGTGTAAGATGCTATACAGCAGTGGTTCTCAACCTTTTCCAGTCTCAACCCCTCAGAATACATTCAAATGTATCTGAAACATTTTGGATGATTCAACAAGATATAAAACATAGGTGTAGTGGTTTAGGCGATTCCTGAGGAACTGTTACATATTAAGTATATCAATATTAATACTTGTATTCAAAAGTCCAGCTCTGGGAACGTTGAGGAATATAAATATCTCAGTTTTCTTAAAGCAGAAGACAGGAAGTGATTCACAGAGCAGATGTTATCAGTAGCAGAGTCACTACATTTATGAGACCTCTGTATGAAGTGATTGTTGGTGATTTCATAAAAGTGTTTTCCTGTTTATCTTCCAGGTCCACGAGGACAAACGTCCCAAAGAAACGGTGCATTTTGCAGTGAACATCTGATCAGAGCGTATTCCAAAACGACAAAGAAAACCTGAACTGCTGAAACACTGTTATAAAAGAAATACAGCGAACATGTACATTTTACACTTTAAACTGTTATAATTCACAGAGAAAATACATTTGAAACCAGTAAATATAACAGTGTTTTTCTGGTGAATTAGCATGACGACGCTGAATTTAAACAGATTGATTATTTCAGTCATTTTTCCTCAAAATGTATGATGTAATGTTTTCTGCTGTATTAATCACAAGAGCTTAACGTGATAGTAACTTTTAAATATTGCAGCTCTGTCATAAAATCTGTTTCTATAAATCCTTATTTACACTTTACAAGATTAACCCTTATGTCCTCCTCGGGCCTTTTTGTACCTTTTTTCAACTTTTGTTTTGTATTTGGGGATCGTTCAGCAGAGAAGAGGGTCCTGGGGTTGTGGGAGGGGTCAGTGAAGATGTTGGAGAGGGAGGCCGATTCAGTGGCAATAAGAGCATCTTTGTAAGCATTGAGATGGAGTTTGTGTGAGGGATGTTTTCTTTGAAAGACGTTCAAGTTGGCGGCCTCGCTGCTTCATTTGACGGAGTGCGGGTGTGAACCAGGGGGAGGAGGTCTTGAGAGTGACAGTTTTATTTTTGAGGTGGGCTGGGGTGTTGAGGGAGGTGAGTAGGGTGGAGTTGAGGTGGGCTGGGGTGTTGAGGGAGGTGAGTAGGGTGGAGTTGAGGTGGGCTGGGGGTGTTGAGGGAGGTGAGTAGGGTGGAGTTGAGGTGGGCTGGGGTGTTGAGGGAGGTGAGTAGGGTGGAGTTGAGGTGGGCTGGGTGTTGAGGGAGGTGAGTAGGGTGGAGTTGAGGTGGGCTGGGGGGGTTTGAGGGAGTGAGTAGGGTGGAGTTGAGGTGGCTGGGGTGTTGAGGGGAGGTGAGTAGGGTGGAGTTGAGGTGGGCTAGGGCGTTGAGGGAGGTGAGTAGGGTGGAGTTGAGGTGGGCTGGGGTGTTGAGGGAGGTGAGTAGGGTGGAGTTGAGGTGGGCTGGGGTGTTGAGGGAGGTGAGTAGGGTGGAGTTGAGGTGGGCTAGGGTGTTGAGGGAGGTGAGTAGGGTGGAGTTGAGGTGGCTGGGGTGTTGAAGGGAGGTGAGTAGGGTGGAGTTGAGGTGGGCTGGGGTGTTGAGGGAGGTGAGTAGGGTGGAGTTGAGGTGGGCTGGGGTGTTGAGTAGGTGAGTAGGGTGGAGTTGAGGTGGGCTAGGGTGTTGAGGGAGGTGAGTAGGGTGGAGTTGAGGGGGGCTGGGGGGTGTTGAGGGAGGTGAGTAGGGTGGAGTTGAGGTGGGCTGGGGTGTCGAGGGAGTGAGTAGGGGTGGAGGTAGTGGGCTAGGGTGTTGAGGGAGGTGAGTAGGGTGGAGGTGGGCTGGGGTGTTGAGGGAGGTGAGTAGGGTGGAGTTGAGGTGGGCTGGGGTGTTGAGGGAGGTGAGTAGGGTGGAGTTGAGGTGGGCTGGGGTGTTGAGGGAGGTGAGTAGGGTGGAGGTGAGGTGGGCTAGGGTGTTGAGGGAGGTGAGTAGGGTGGAGTTGAGGTGGGCTGGGGTGTTGAGGGAGGTGAGTAGGGTGGGAGTTGAGGTGGCTGGGGTGGTTGAGGGAGGTGAGTAGGGTGGAGTTGAGGTGGGCTGGGGTGTTGAGGGAGGTGAGTAGGGTGGAGTTGAGGTGGGCTAGGGTGTTGAGGGAGGTGAGTAGGGTGGAGTTGAGGTGGGCTGGGGTGTTGAGGGAGGTGAGTAGGGTGGAGTTGAGGTGGGCTGGGGGTGTTGAGGGAGGTGAGTAGGTTGGGAGTTGAGGTGGGGCTGGGGTGTTGAGGGAGGTGAGTAGGGTGGAGTTGAGGTGGGCTAGGGTGTTGAGGGAGGTGAGTAGGGTGGAGTTGAGGTGGGCTGGGGTGTTGAGGGAAGTGAGTAGGGTGGAGTTGAGGTGGGCTAGGGTGTTGAGGGAGGTGAGTAGGGTGGAGTTGAGGTGGGCTGGGTGTTGAGGGAGGTGAGTAGGTTGGAGTTGAGGTGGGCTGGGGTGTTGAGGGAGGTGAGTAGGGTGGAGTTGAGGTGGGCTAGGGTGTTGAGGGAGGTGAGTAGGGTGGAGTTGAGGTGGGCTGAGGTGTTGAGGGAGGTGAGTAGGGTGGAGTTGAGGTGGTTGAGCAGATCATCAGGTGAGCTGAGGGTTGTGTCCAGGGGGAGATTAGACGATAGCAGTTCGGAGAGATGGTTATGGTCAATGGAGTGTAGATTACGGAAGGTGATGTTTCTGGGTGGGCAGGGTGTATTGTGCCTCCCTCGGGCCTTTTTGTACCTTTTTCAACTGTAGTTTTGTATTTGGGGATCATTCAGCAAGAACTCTTGAGTCAAATGTTTTATATACAATGTCTTTTTACTCTTACATGTCTTTTATACTCTATCGATGCATTTGGACCCTCTGGACAACGTGGCAAAAATGTACACCAAAAAAACTGCTATTAAATCATATTATCATTCATCAATATGTTATTCAGCTTTTTTTCATAAATCCCTTAAACAACTTAAAACTTGCTCAAAAATTACCAATCATTCTCAGGATTTTAACCCTTTAAATGCCTGTTTAATTTGTTTGAATTATTCATTACAAAACATCAGAAAACATGATTTATTTCCCATATAATAAACAGTAGGGGGCTTTGGTGGTGATTAGAGTCAGAAAGTGTGTGTGTGTGTGTGTGTGTGTGTGTGTGTGTGTGTGGTGTGTGTGTGTGTGTGTGTGGTGTGTGTGTGTGTGTGTGTGTGTGTGGTGTGTGTGTGTGTGTGGTGTGTGTGTGTGTGTGTGTGTGTGTGTGTGTGTGTGTGTGTGTGTGTGTGTGTGTGTGTGTGTGTGTGTGTGTGTGTGTGTGTGCGTGCCACAGATACACATGCAGTTGTAATGAGGAGGAGAAAGACCTGGAGCAACAATGAAGGCATTTCAGTGCAGAAGAAGCTTCAGAGATGGCCGTGCAGCTTTTATCTGCCAGCGAGGACTCATCTGAAGAAGACCCAAGCTTCGAGGGGAAGTCTGGAAGTGTCCCCGGGTTACAGGACGCAGAGGCGACGCAGAGCCATGGATTTCAAATGACGCTCAATCACAGATTACACTAGAGGGGAGGGAAAGGGTGTGTGGGGAGAGACAGAAACATATTTACAAGCAATCACACACATTTAATGTAACTCTCAATAGGTGTTACCATTTTTTTATCCCCCTTAAATAACAGAATTAATGACATTATTTTTAATGTTTTTGTTGAATAATTATTTGTGCTGTTCTTTATTTTTTTATTTAATTTTTATTTATATTCATTTTTTTCATCACGTAAGTATTTTTTTTATGCCACTTAAATATAATTATTGTTTACAATTAATTAATTTGTTTTCAAGTTATTATTCGAGTCATATTTAGGGCTGTTATTAAAATAAATCTTTTATTTGTATTTTTTATTGTAGTTTGTTTTTCGAATTAAATCAACAATAAAAAACATTTTATTTTTAAATGATATCAGACACAATATCGTTATCTTAAAAGCAGCTTTAATGTACCTCGAAATATCTCAGTGTTATTAAATATATATTTTTATTTATTTGTCTAATTATTATCAAATATTATGAAAGTAAAAGATTGACTCTCGTATGTATAAAATCAAATTAGATAAGATAAGGTAATGTAAGATAAGATAGGGTAAGGCAGTGTTTCTCAAACTTTTTCTTACCAAGGACACTTAACCAATAAAAAAACACTCGCCAAATATCCAAAAACAATAGGCCTGCTTCCCACTCCAACAGTACATAACAAATTACAGCCTGATAATGACAGCTTAACTTCTCTGTATCGCCTCGTTCACACATTAAATCAACAATACAACAACTGATTCTACAAGCATTTCGTTCAAATGCGATTTAAAATGCTCTCAGGTTTTACACCTCTTGTGAAATGTAGACTGCATTTATTACGGAGTTTATGTCCAACAGACTCACAGATCGTTGGCTACTGAGAGAAATGCAAAACACACCGCATGTAGTACGACACAAACCTCCGCTGTGGATTTTCAAAACAAAATACAGTAAACTATGGTCGCAGGCCCAAGTTTAACTCTCTGAGCCCTTTTTTCACATGTTAGGCTGCATGTTAGGCTTCCAGGAGATTACAAATCTCCTGGAAATGGTACAAACAAGTGGCAACATGTGTGAGGAAGGTGTGGCGCTGGGCTATATCATGCAATTGAAAGTGAAAGTTAAGCTCGCTCCATTGCGGAGATATTCCCGTTAGAGTGCGGAAAACTTAAATGTATTTATTTATTTCAAATGTGAAATGTTACCAATATACTCACGGACCACTAGAGGGCGCTCACGGACCACCAGTGGTACGCGGACCACACTTTGAGAAACACTGGGGTAAGGTAAGTGATTATATGACATTTTAATTCATGTTCAAATTGATAATTATTTTTGTTTCCTTCACGTTAAAATAAATGCTATTGAACAAAGTATTTACACAAACTAAATAAATAAATGCTATTGAACAAAGTATTTACACAAACTAAATAAATAAATATAAATATAAATATGTGATTGAAAAAACACTTAAAACCAACAGAAGTAATTAAACACACACTGTCAAAAAGGATTTGATCAATAAATAAGTTTACATTTTTTCCATAAATAACAATTTATGCTATTTCTACTGAATTTCACAAGTTGTTATTATTTTAACTGAGCTTTAAAAGCCAGTTTAATGACCGTTAAATCCAAATCAAATTAACCGTTAGTTTTCATTGGATTGTTCTAGAACTTTCCATGCCTCTTAACATGGTAGTGGTGATGACATATTACTGCGGTGAAAAATAGTCCCGGTGTTGAAGTTGTTTTTATTGATTGAAGGCATTTTGCAGGGACATTTTTGTTGACGTTATAGACAGTGAACTATGGAATGCAAAAATTAAATAAATACATAACTAATTAAATAAATACATATATAAATAAATATGCCCTTCAAATAAATAAATATGGTTATGAAATAAATTCGTAAATAAATAAATTAGGCAATAAATATATATAAATGTATATTTAAATACACATTTATTTATTTCAAGAGACTTTCATTCATAATGCCACATTTATCTCGCTAAGCTGTACGAGGCTGGTTATCAACTCGGTAAATCAACCCAGGGTTTCTCCGTCCAGCTGAGAGTGCGTTCACGTGAAAGGGGCGGGGTTAGCAACATTTGACCAACGCTAATGTAATACTAGTCAGATTGCTCTGAAGATGGGAGGTGATATGCTATTAATGTTCACGTTCACACACTCAGTCGGTGATTTTAGCCGGACCCCTTTCCTGCATACAGCAGTTTAAACTGTATTTCCAATATGACTTGATGGCTTTAAACTCCGCACACTGAGCTCTGATTGATCAGCAGGCGGTGCTTTCACTGAGTTGGTCTCTTATCTGGAACCAGAGCAGGTTAGGTGTTCATGTTGCACTCAAGGACTCAAGCGGACATCACTTGTCTTTTCTCACTCGTGGCAACTTTATTATGAAAGACAACTCCGTCACAGTACCAAAAACCACAGAGGAAGACACGCTCTTCCTTCACCTGCACACCCTCAGGTGGAGCCTTGTGGCGAAAACAGGCACAAACTAACCCTGCTTCAGCAACAAACAGAACATACAAACAGTCATACGTAGTTAGCACAAAGACACTGGACAAATAAACATGAA